ACTAGCAACATGACGAATCAAATCCGCCTTCCATTTACTTGTTCTTGAACAGTAACGACATTTGAATGGACGTTCATTTGTGTGTACACGCTTATGTCGTATCATTTCGGAAATCCATTTCCCAACATAGCCACACGTGGAACAAGTACGAGTAGACACATCTGGGTCTTTTTCCATACGCTACAGAAAAAAGATCCATGAATTCAGCGACAGTTTTGATTTGATTCAGGACAGCACGAATGAAAAATTTATCCAAAGACTCATTTTCAGTTTTCAGTTATTGCAGTTTTTGGTTGCGGCAATTACAGTATATTTTTGGTCACAAGTATTAATTAGTGATTTTAAACCACTATCTGACACGGATGTCCATCGAAATTTCCTTCTACAAATTTTGAATTATTGTCACATTATGAACCTCATTTATAAATGCGCACAAAGATCGGGTTTAGTGCAAAGCGATTTCATCATAAGGTCCATTAGAATGTAAACGACATAAACGCATCTTATGTATTCTAAATCAAAATATTTACAATATTTTTTTACCTTAGCTTCAGCCTCGTCATCTGGACCTTCAATAGCCTCTTGTTCACTGAGATAACGTTTCTGGAATGGTTCATGGGTGTCGTCGGCACGACGAGCCACGAGACCATCCAACGTGTTTGCTGGATTCGCGGCCTGGAATTTGCCATGTTTGCGAAATATGAGGGATTTTGCACTTTTTCTGAGTATGGGATCTCTGGAATCCATAATTTGATGCTTTTGAGTGTGTTTATGGTTATTCGGACGGTAAAAATGTTTTCGCACTCGTCTCTTGTAAGTAGGATCCTGGTAGATATAAGGAAAACCCTATCGAAGTAACGGATTTCAGGGAGTTTCGGAGAATTTATTGATTCGAAACTAATGAGATAAGAATTTCATTTTGCTGTAAACTGCAAAAAATATTAATACGCCTAGAATGAGCAAGAAAGACCTTTGATTGCAGGCATAAATGTCATAATTTTAGGGCAAATGATGCAAAGATGCGTGAGCGATGAAGATAGGGATATTTTAGCTAGGAGGTATACTTTCTGTATGGTACCTTACCTCACCGCGACGCCTCTTTCTTCCCTCACTGCCGGGTGAAACAGGAGAAATGGAAGTTGACT